TTGCTCATCTCCCCAGCAGCTGACAGCCTCCAATGCCAAGAAAGAAGAGAGAGAAAAGGAAGGGTGAGCCATCCAAATCCCTCCCTTGCCTCGGCTTGCCTTGCCTTTCCAGCCTCCTCCTCTGCTCTCTTGAGAGGTCCTAACCCCAACGGGAGGGGGTTAGGACCTGTGAAGGAGGACATGACAACAAATGGAAGACAGTCTGACATTTCCTCCTGGGAAATGCAGGACCCGCCCTGGAAAAGGAGGAGTCTGGTCACAAAACACACCCATTTCCAGTACATGTACGGGTTCTTTTCACTTGTGTATGAAAGTTAAAAACGTCTTTTTTTCGCTTTTAATTTAATTCAGTTATTGTAATTACGTGTGAAAAGCTTTTGTGCAATTACGCTCTATTTTCGCTTTCTTTTCCGGATGCTTCATTTCCACTTTATTATCTCTTTAACAATGAAACTGGCCCACGTGTGATAACGTCCTTAGGAAGCTCAATATGTTTTAGCTTGGAGACTAAGGGGGGTTGCAGACTGCCAGAAATAGAGCAAATTGAGTCCACTTTTAGGGTTAGTGTTAGTGCTAGGGAATCATGGGAAATGTTTTTTTTTTTTCCTGAGACATTGAGCCTTCTCTGTCAGAGAGCTCTGGTGCCATAATAAAATACAGTTCCCATGATTCCCTAACCCTAACCCTAACCTTAAAAGTGGACTCAATTTGCACTATTTCTGGCAGTCTGCAACCCCCCTAAGGAATTTATCACACTGCCCTTTTTCCCAAGCCAGGCACAGGCTGAAACCTTTTTAAAATGGGTTTTATTGCATGCCTCTGTACCCAGACAGAAGGCATCCTGTAAGCAATCTGGACTTTTCCATTCTTTGCAAAGTACATGAGAAGTCCAGATCAGGTATGGGATGCCTCCTGCCTGGGCATGGAGACATGCAATAGAACCCATTTTTATTTCAGCCTGTGCCTGCCTGGGGAAAAGGGCAGTGTGGTAAACTCCTAAGTGATTATGTGCTATCCATCTTTAAATATTTGAAGAGATATGCCATGTATAAGATGGAACAAGCTTGTTATCTGCTACTTCAAAGACTAGAACAAGAAGCAATGTATTCAAATTACAAGAAAAGATTCAATCTAGACATTTAAAAAAAACTTCCCGATGTTAAGTGCTGATAGTAGAATAGGCTGCTTAGAGGTCTTTGAAGATCTTGAAATAGAGGTTGGATGCCCATTTCTGAGGAATGCTTTAGCAGTGGCTTCCTGCACTAGCAGAAAGGTTAAACTAGAAACGCCTTGAGGGCCTTCCAACACTATGATTTTATGATTCATGTAATCCTTTGAATTATATGTAGACTGATTAATATAAACCTAGCCACAGTAGATTAAATCCTATGAAATAAATAGATACTAAAAAGTTTTCTTAAGAATTTTCAAATTTTTAAGCATCCAGGCATTAAGCAATACTATAAATACTAGAATCACATTCTGCAGAAGTATGTTAATCATGCTTTAAAATTAATATTATTCTACACTATGCATATAATGTGCTGTTGTTACTGCATACCTTCATGTCATTTCTGACTTAAGGTGAACCTGTAATGGGGTTTTCTGAGGGTGAGAGTGTGTAACTCACCCAAGGTCACCCAGTGGGTTTCCATGACAGAGCAGGGATCAAACCCTGGTCTCCAGATTCATAGTCTAATGCTCAAATCACTACACTACATTGGCTCTCATGCATATGGTGCAGAGTATCTAAAATGCAGTGTCAGCTATCCACTTAGATGTATTCTGGTCAGAAGTTGGGAAAGTTATATATTTTTAAAAACAAACAAACTACAATTCATAGAACCCTCCAGTCACTATCCATGCTGATTCTGAGGGCTGATTCTGGGAACTGTAGTCCAAAACCTAGTTTTTCCAGCTCTATTTCTGCTTAATCACATTTGTGAAAGGTATCTTGATTGAATTAAGCCACTACACTGAAGAACCTTGTTTTTACACACACACATGCGCGCACACGCGCGCGTGCACACACACACACACACACACACAGCATTATTAGATATAGTTCCACATACTTTTATACATAAGAATTATAAATCAGTATTACATTTTATACATTATTATTAGATAGAGTCCACATGCTGGGGAATGTATTTTAAAAGAAAAAAAAAACAAGGTGAAGCAGGGGTGGCTGCCATGCCATGCCATGCCATGCCATGCCATGCCATGCCTATAAACTGGCCCCATGGCTGATGGAAACAAAACTCCAAATGTCTCAAAACTTTTGCTTACCTGCCTACCCATTTAATATATGTTCCTGCTTTCTCCCAATATGGGATCCTAGCCCCAGCAAGACAATTCTTATGTTTCCATTTTCACTCTGATTGAGATGGCACTCTTTCACCAAAGTATGTACATAGGAAGGGGCTTCTTTTCCCAGAGGTCTCTTCCTTCCTGGAACTCTGAACACATTGAAGAACAGTTTATTATCGGAACAAAATACACTTTCCAGATCAAAATATCAGCTAGATTTGTAATTTCAACAGAAGAGTCTGGAAATTTCTAACACAGTTTTGCTTGCCTCTCTGCAAGGAAGCACAAGGGGTCAACCGCTTATTCTGAACCAGTCTTTGTGTATATTTTGGGATGTTCTACCAGTCCAGACTCAAGGCAACCAGGCATAGACAGCAGACATGCCAAAGAAGTAATTCACCACTACTATCACCACCTCTTCACTCCTATAGTTGGATTCCTGTATTTTCCTGAAGGAAAAACACTTTCTAGGCAGATTGTATTTCTTCTTCTTCCCCCCATGGTAAGGTGGTAAGCATCCATGTTAATCTGTAGCAGCAAAAACAATAAAAGGCTTGTGGCACCTTAACGACCAGGAGATTTATTATGTCATATCCATGAAAGTGTATGCTACAATAAATCTTTTCTGTACTATCATCAATCAATATACACAAAGAATACTTCCCCCAATGACTCACTTTTACCTCTCAGGAAATGAACTAGGATAGGGAAGAGAATTTGGGAACTGGAGGATGGCCAATCAGGTCTGTGCCAAATTTCTGACCTTCAGCAATCCTATGTAACCTTCTCCCCTATTTTTTTGTGAGTAAGGACATCTGTAAAATTCTCTTCACACTGTCCTTTAAAGCTTTGACTTAATGGTTTATGAGCTGACACGTTAAATGGTGATTTCTATTATTTCAGTTGTGAAGCACCCAGTTATTTCTCCTCTTCACTCCCTGCAGCTGCCTTTCCAGGCTTCAGAGCTGTTTTAACATTCCTGATTAAAGTTGGCAACCCCGATATCAAAGAAAGTTTCTGAGCATAAGCAGAGTATCATGCCTTAAACTCGTTTAATTCATCAGGGGAGCCTCATGACTGCAAGATTTTTTTAAAAAGCATTATATTTGTTTGGTTTGTCTTGATGTTAAAGTACATTCATTTAAGAACAAGCGCCATCTTGTTATGGAAAGGGATAATATGTTTTAAAGGTCATAATGAGCATCCATAACCATGTGTAATATTAGGAATCTGTGTGCCATTTTTTTTTTCAAATAATCTTTTTTAAAATCCAAGGAGATGCTCAACCAGCATCCATTCTAGTGGGCTTTAGCATGCCCATTTTGGCTCATGTGGTGACAGATAGATTGCTACACTACCCATTTTTGCTGCACTCTGGACAAGTCATTTGAATAGGCAGAGTGCTTACCTGGGTAGGCAGGTAAGCAAAACCTTCTGCCCCACCTGCCTGCTGCTCTTTCACTGGATCCTTGAGGCCCCTTCTGTTCCAGTTAGACAGCAATGCATTGTGGCAGAACTGTGACTGTGTCTTATGGGCTGAAGGAGGAAAGGTCTGAAAAGGGTGGTAAATGGAGTGGATGAACCTGCTGAGAGATGTTTGGGGGGAAGTAACAAAGGCATCCAGAAAAGAAAAGAAAAGATGCAGTAAGGGGGAGTGTAATGTTGAAAATGGGATGGATGGTGCCATGAGAGCAGGAAAGAAAGATTTTAAGGTCATGGAGGAGAGAGAAGTGAGGGACAGAAAAAGGAGAGAGATGGGCAGCATGATAGAATTATTGATATGAGTATTTCTCTTCTCTGCCTCACACACACATATAGATTTGGGAAGAAGCTGGTTAGCAAAGGGAGGGTTTGCATTCTGTGAAATGGGTATCCAACTGTATCTATCCGCTTGTCTTCATCTCACTTAACACTGCAGTCTGTCCCCTTTCTTCTCCTCAGCCATATCAATTGTAGCGTCCTTGGGGAAGAAGAAAATTCTTTTGTCCTATTCAAAATGCTTTCCCTGATCTTCAGTTCTCTCTCAGAAGGTTGTCTTGCTTTCTGCCATACTCACATATACAAACATACTTGGCATCAAGCACAGGCAAGGTGACTTACACATAAGCACAACTTGTGTTGTACCAGCTGTGGAAGGACCACAAATGAATTAACCTGGTCCAACCCAAAACCAGTTGCAAGCATTTGCATCAAATTTCAGGGCCCCTCCTACAACTAAGGAGCCTCTTATTTCTGAGGAGAGTTCTTACTCTTGAAGAACATTCTACCATGTATACTTACACTATGGCTTATATCAGTTCACAGCCATTCAAGATAGAAAGGTCATTGGAAGATTCCCACTTACATGTCTGCAGACAAATACAAACATGTGCAAATCAAAAGGAAGGAGGAAGAAATGGTAGAGCCACTGTATGGAGAGAATGGCAAAATGATAACAGGGGACAGAGAAAAGGCAGAACTACTCAACATCTTCTTTGCCTCAGTCTGCTCATGAAAGCAAAAGGATGCTCAACCTGAAGAAGATGGAGCAGATGATGCAGCTGGGGAAATGCAACACAAAAGAAGTAAAGAGTTAGTGCAGGAATACCTGGTTAATCTATATAAATTCAAATTTCTAGAGTAAGATGAACTACCCAAGGGTATTAATCTTATTGTTTTAATTGTAGAGTTATATTTTAATTCTTCTTTGGTTTAATTTTGTTTTAAGGGGTGAGAGGGTGGATTATGGGAGGAGGGAATGTTTTTAACTTGGTTTGTTTTAAATGTTGTAACCCACCTCAATTGCCGTGCAGAGGGGCAGGCTATAAATAAAATTTATTATTATTATTATTATTATTATTATTATTATTATTATTATTATTAAAAGGACTGGCAGAAGTAATCTCAAAGTCACTGGTAATAATCTTTGAGAAATTCTGAGAAAAGGAGAATTCCCAGCAGATTGGAAGAGGGCAAATGTTGTCCCCATCTTCAAAAGAGGGGGGAAAGAGGACCAGAACAATTACTACCTGGTTAGCCTGACATCAATACTAAGAAAGATTCTAAAGCAGATAATTAAATAGACTGTCTGTGAACTTTTAGAAAGGAATATATATAATTACCAGTTTGGTAGATGAAGAGAATGCTGTGGACATAGCACATCTTGATTTCAGTAAGGCCTTCAACAAAGGTCCCCATGATATTCTTACAAACAAGCTAGTAAAAGGTGGGCTAGACAATTTGACTATTAGGTGGATTTGTAATTGGTTGACCAGTCAAACCCAAAGGTTGCTTAGCAATGATTCCTTTTCATCCTGGAACAAAGTGACCAGTGGGGTGCCACAGAGTTTTGTCCTAGTCCCAGTGCTATTCAACATCTTTATCAATGACTTAGATGAATAAATAGAGGGCATGTTTATCAAATTTGCAGATGATACAAAATTAGGACAGAGTACCTAATACCCCAGGATCAAAATTCGAAATGGCCTTAATAGGTCTGAAACTAACAAAATGAAAGCTGGGCCAAAACTAACAAAATGAATTTCAACATGGAGAAATGTAAGGTATTGCCCTTAGGCAGAAAAAATGAAATGCACAGATATAGGATGGGGGACACGTGGCATGACAACAGTACTTATGATAGGGATCTACAAATCCTAGTAGAGCCCAAGGTGAACAAACCAGTACAATCCTAGACTGCATCAATAGAACTATTGTGTCTAGATTGATGGAAGTAATAGTACCACTTTATCCTGCTTTGGTAAGGCCTCCCCTGGAATACTGTGTCCAGTTCTGGGCACCACAATTAAAAATGGTTGTTGACAAGCGGGAAGGTATCCAGAGGAGGGTGACCAAAATGATGAAAGATCTGGAACCCATGGCCTATGAGGAGTGACTTGGGGAGCTGGGTATGTTTAGCCTGGAAAAGAGAAGATTAAAGGCTGACATGATAGTCATATTTAAATCTTTGAAAGGATGTCATAGTGAAGATGGAGCAAGATTTTTTTTTCAGCTCCAGAGAATAGGACCTGGAGCAATGGATGCAAATTCCAGGGAAAAAATATTCCATCTCAACAGAACTTCCTTACAGTAAAAGCTGTTCGATAGTGAAACATGCTGCCTCGGAGTTTGATGAAGTGTCCTTCTTAGGAGGTCTTTAAACAAAAGTTGGATAGTCATCTGTCAGGGATGCTTTGATTATATATTCTTGCATGGGAGGGGGGTTGAAATGGATGACCCTTGGAAGAAGGAGTTCTTCCAACTCCTTGATTCTATGAAACACACACCAGTTTTCTACTGAGCTAAATATGTAGCTTGTCTCATGCAGTTTAGCTTTATGCGTATCTACTCAGAAATGTCCCAGTGATTTCAATAGGACTTTCTCCCAAATAAATATACATTGTGTTGCATAATAGAGAATAAAACAGTAACAC